AAGTGAGTTTCGGCAACTGTTAAACAATTGTTTTCTCGAAAACGGCTGCAAATTTTTTTCATGAAATTTTCTCCTTGCATGTAATGCTTTAATGTTGATACCTTTTCCGGCGAACTCCGTATTTTCGAAAATTGCAAAACATTAACATTGCTGAATTCAAGCAACCCATTGCAATAACATTGCAAATACAATATTGAAGATAGAGATTTTTGTCTTCAATGAAATCTTATTGAAGATCAGATCCTTAAGAAAGGGCTTGTACAATTTTTTTGAAAAAACTAGCAGTTTTTGTATAATTTTGCTTGATGTTAATGCACTTTAAACAAAAAAATAAATATTTTGCCGTTCTCAAAATTGACCTAACATTTTTCCTTTAACTGCTTCCAAAGATAGATCAAAGGATGCTACTCTTTGAGTTTTTGAAATTTGCAAAAGTTACAAATAATGTGAGAAAGTACATGCAGTTGACGTACCACTTTTATTCCCCTTTCTTCTAAATTTTGTAAAATATTTTCATTTGGAATGTTTTTGTGTACCTTTTATAGCATTGAAAGCTTAATGTTTTATTTTTTTTGCCAATTGAAAGTGATTTATGGAGGTACTATCAGTTGTCTTTAAGGCAATTGCTGTTAGTCACATGTGTGACATTATATGAAATTTCACACCTCATACTTGTTGCCAGATAGTGATCATCTTCAACCCATCTACTTGTATTGGAAGGTTGTAATATTTATTTTGAGACATTCTATATAAAGAAGTTAGAAACTCCTTGAATTGTTGATATAAAGGCTGCTGTGAGCCTAGGAACAGGCAGTCCAGTTCTGACAAGAATATTGAATTAAGGAGTAAAATTTAGCAAATTATGTTAAGAAAGCAAAAATACTTGGTGTTGGTAAGGTGGAATACATTTGCAACATGCCAACCACTATGTGATTCATTAATATGTTCAGTTTCCCTTGGTATGGGGTGACATTGGATGGAACACCAGAACACCTTTGTGTGTTTTTTCAATGTAGAATATTTTTATTGGTGAAGAGTTTTTGAATTGGACACCCATTAAAGTTTTTTTTTTTGGCTCACTGTATTTAGCCTTGATATTGCAACCCAAGCTCAGGGCACTGAAGAAGGGTCTTTATAGTAGGGATCCTTATATCCCCACTCAAAAGTATTCATTGATGCAAACTGTTAGGTGGCTGGAAAAGCCACAGATTGCTGTTATGTTATACATTACTACAGAGTTTGAAGTACCTACAGTACTGTAGGTTTGGTTTCTAGTGATGGTACCATGGTTAATAGTGGTTCAGAATTGAAACATACCTTGAAACAATTTGTAAAATAATTCATTGAAACTATTGTTTGTGAGAAACTCATGAATAGGATGCCAAGAATCGTCGAGAAAATTATTCCAGCAAGGGTAGTTTTCTTTTTTGCCTGAAAAAATAGTTTAACAAATTTATTTTCTATGTTAAAACATTTCAGTTTATTGTATTTTTGTCACAAATTTGAAATTATTAGTAGCATTCAAAAGCGTGGCTAGCACTGTATATACCACAATAATTTCCTTATCAAAGTAATATTACTACAATCAGCATCCTTATCAAAGTCACAGTAACATATTAAAAAATTTAAAAAAATCCAAAGTCTCACTCCTTTCCCCTGAAACACTTTCTTCAAATTAATTTCAATTCCATAATTAAACATTTGAATACTAAACATAATTTTTACACCATCACAACATATGATGCATATGATACACTGATTTGTTAAAACAAAATGTGTAATGTTAAAGAAATAAAATATCAACAAAGATAAGATACAACAAACAGAACACAAATATATCAACAATTATATTTGTAATATTTTAACCATACAAAAAAATTAAAGTATAAAACAATTAAAATTTGTATACTTAATAATAAATCAAAATAATCAGCTTGTGATACAGAAGTATGTATTTCATACTAATTAGCAGACATTTGTTTCTGATGTGTTTCTACTATAAGAGGTATCTAAAGTTTAGAAAATCAGATATTAGGAAAGAAAACATTTGTAAGTTGTTTTATCAGATTCTTGATATAGAGCCTCTTGGGTTTACATATTTCCTTGCAACAAAAACTGTGAGCTTATAGTGGAAACCAGTCCAACTAAATACAACTTTATAAATAATTATTTTTATTGACATAAAATAGCAATATATCAACAAAAATAAGACATATAAAAATAAAAGAAGGTAAAAATAAAAGTATAGTGCCCCTGTGTAATTGCACACAGACCAATACGGTCCAAAGGGGAAATGAAGGTAGGACTCCACCTATTCATTGACGATGGCACAGGGAGGAAGTTGTGTAGTGGGCACAATGCTCCAGCCGTCTTCACCTTGAGGAAAGATCCTAGCACTCACTTCGAAAGAAAGACAAGCCAGAGCCACTGTGGATGAAAATCTCCAGATAAAACTCCCAACCTATGTCGAGATTCAAACTTGAGTCCTTCAAGTGAAAATGCCAGTGCCCCTCAGCCATCTCAGTTACTATAAATATGATATTCATAAATCCAAATTGTTTATTTATAAAATTATTTTAACAGGAAAACATGCCCATCCTGCAAGCATGCTGCCTGGGGCAATTGCCTGTTGGGGACACGCATTAATTTGTAACAACTTGCTATGAATAAATCTATGATCTAAGTTAAATCACATTAATTGAATGCAAAAGAATGAGAAATGGGATGTGGATAAATAAATAATATGCATAAAAAAATTGTTGGGAGAAGGTGGAAGTTGTAATGAAAAATAAACAACAGACATAGTAGAAGAGTGAAACATTATTAAGAATGTAGTAAAGAAATTCTAAAAAAAGAAAAGGAAAGAAAGACAGAAAGACAGACAGACATTGGATAATATTGATTCACAAAGACAGTGCAAGAATAATAGCACAAAGAATTGAAGGAAGAATTACAAAAAACTTAAAAATTAATTTTAGAAGAATTATTGATAAGGCAAATGATTTGAAGAAAAGAGCCAAATGAAATACATTAAACTAGAATGGTATGAGACAGCAATGCCATATTAACAAAGATCCTAAAACTATGATAAAGAAAGGCATAATCAATAATCATGGATATAATCTGACTAACAGTAGAGAAGAGAAAGAAACATTAGTGGAATGCATTGAAGAGTTGTTCAGTTCGGAGGGCTATTCAAAGGAATGAAATAATAATAGGTATAATAGAAATATGTAGGTGCAATAGATAGAAAATGCAGATGAGAATGCAAAGGTGACAAAGGACTATGTATATTGTTAAAAGTTGAAGTATCCATTCAAAATTTGGAGAATTGAATAGCTTGAGATGAGATCCCAACTGAAGCATTCAAGGCTATTGGGAACTGCAAAAAAACATCTGGCCAATTGAATTAGTGAAATATACAACAGTGTCATCTGTCCCTGGTGGAAGAGTTAACAAAAGTGGAACTTACATCAATTCCTCAAAATAACATTGTCCAAGAGAGTAAGAGTACAGGATAAGTTGCATGTGTCTTCTGTCTGCAGCTTTGAAAGAGTGGTATTAAGATCAATTAAAAGACAGATATTGGGATGTGTCAGAAAACCAGTTTGAATTCTAGAGGGTAAGGGAACCTGGAATGAAACTGAATGTTCAAGAATGATCCAAGAACAATTAACAACAAATATCAACAGAAATATTAAGAAATTATTATTGACAGTAAGCTAGAAAGTAAACAATGCTACAGGAGTGAGAGAGAGAGATGGTGTATGTTACTGGACAATGTAATTGGATCACATAAAATAAGGGCTATCAAATATGCAGTTCAGTGAGCCACATTTGCTGAATCGAAAAATAAATTAACCTATAAATTACTAGGGAAAGTTGTGTTTTTTTAGAAAGATACTGCATAATATTGAAAAACATCATACATAAAAAAAACGGTTATGAGAATGTGTAAAGAAGGCAAAGATGTGTTTTCAATCTTGTTTTAATCATGTTATCTGAAATGCTTTCAAATGAGGAAATGTTTGCTGATACTAAAAGATAATTGATATTAAAATATATTGGAAAAAAAATACAATAACTTTTTTTATTGTAAAGTAGTGCATTGAAATCATTTCAACATTTAATAAAAGCACCACAGCCTTAACTATATATTCAAATTAAATTAGTTATTTACAGGGATGTGATTTAATGCATAAGCAGACTAAGCAGTTGCTTGGAGTCCCCCACCAGATAAGGACCTCCAATATTTTATATAAGTTCATACAAATATGAAAATGTTTCATTACACAATTAAATAAACAAAAATTAATATATTTAATCAGGTTTTAAAACAAATAATGGCTTTCTAATAGGTGTGAAAAAGAACTACTGTAAAAACAAACAAAAATTATTTTAAAACATATTTACGTTTTATTAATTTTTTTTTAATTGCAGAAGTGATTTTCATATTCATGTTGATAACTTATATTCAATGTTGTCAGATGGTCTCTTAGTTTGGTCAAACTTGGGCCCTTTAACGTAATAATCCGACCATAGTTATTTGCATGTGTATACAAATGCAGTCATTCCAGCAGTACATTAATTAACCCTTGTCAATGGTTTTGAAATTCTTTATACAATGTTCAATGAATGAAGAGAAAAGGTGTTGTGGTATGAAAAAATGTCTTACTTAAGATAATGACGTTATATCAAATATACAACATTATGTTTTTGTTTACCAAGCCGACTATAAAATATATTAATTATATAATTAATTTTGGCCCGTTTTGAAATGAGTGCATCTAAAAACGGATTCTAATTAAACACTTTTTTCAGATATTTCAAGTTTGGTGTAAGCATTGTTTAAACAGTTTTGACACTTTGGAATTGTTTTGAAATATAGTCGCTTTCGCGCCAATTCCTGTTCTTCTACCATAATAACAGCGCTATCTGTTGACGTATATTTGAAAAATTTGCAGCGTCACTGGCATTCCAAACTTCCAAGCTTCCAAGTCTGAGAGCGGCTGTGAATGGAGTAGCAGCGGTGGGTCGAGCTCAGCTGGCTGTGCCGGGTAGTGCGCGGGCGCGAATAGGGCGCGAATGGGAGTGCGTGCAGGAGGGTGGTGAGAACACACGTTGAGCGTGGTGAACCACTACTGGCACTTATATTCTGTGTAATTTTTCGTCGCTGCTTGCGGTGTTAAAGCACACTTGCATGTATTTTTAAAGGTACGGTTATTTCGCTGTGCCGAATACGAATTTCTTTTCGTCATGCTAGAGAAGTTAGATTTAAACTATGTTCTTTATTGTTTCAGCTAGTGACAACACTAAATTTGAAATAAACAATGGTTCGCGTGAAAATTGATTTGAATCTTCTGCCCATGAAGGCGCAGTTCTTTCTATGGAACGCTGGTAAGTTTTATGCACTACATTATGACCCATTTTTAAAACAAATTCTTGGAATTTCAGTTGTACTATGAGATGGTTTTCAGTGGTGCAGTTATGAGTTTCATAAAGTATAACTCGGTTATGATGCATGTTGTACTTTTATTATAATGTTTGAAAAATAAAATGTTTCTTTAAATTCTTCAGTTAGAAACATTTTTATTGAGATTATTGAATAGCCTTTACAATTTGGTTAATCATTCTTCCTTTGCTCTTTGTCAATTCAGTTACCATTTAACTGAATTAACCCTAATGAATTTATTATGAAAGTATTGAAAAACTCTTCTGCCTCCCTGTTCTACTTGTTTACGTTGCTGGGACGACTTTTCAAGTATTGACAAGAATATATAAGATAGAAGTATAGATATCTTTATATGTTGGTACCATTATTCTATTTATTTCTCAGATTTGTTTGCATTACTTAAATCATGTAGATTGACTTATCTGTGATTACTTGTATGCGTTTTGTTAATACAGCATTTTTTTAAATATTAAATTTATATATGTTCTTTGTACATGTTTATTGCATACATGTAATATTAGCGTGTAGATATTGAATAAACATGTGTATGGAAAAAATACATTTTATTTTGTATGCATTTGGTAAAGATATAGAGTTGTAAATAAAGTAGATTACTTGTGAGTGACTTACCAAATGCCAGCAATTAGTAAAATATAATAAACAACATAAGATGTTCATAAATGTGCTGTTTTCTTTTGAAATGAAGCTTTGTGTAAATTTCATTTTATTATTCATTTATTCTTTAGGTTTTCAGTGTAAGTGTTTCATTTATTAGGTTGAAATTTACTTGGCATAATAATGTATTGCATGCTTTTGCTATGTGTGGGTGTTTTGTCAAATTGTTAAATTATTTTTTAAATGTGCATCATTATTGTTGTTGGCATTCTATTGGATAGTAAATGTACTATCTAGTATTACTATTGCTTAATAACTAAATGTACTTGTGTTACTATCCAATGTGGCAAAATGTTTTTCAGTTATGAAATATTGGTTAAAAATGTATTTTGTAAATCTTTTCCGCTTTGAATTTTTGGGTCATTATATGCGTGGACTAGGTCCTCCTAGCAACAATCATAGATTTTGATGAAATTTTGTATGCTGGGTCTGACATTTCTCAGAGACTTTTGTGAAGTTCCAGCTTTGCAAGTGAAATAGTTTTTGCGATATAGCTGTTTGTTTGTCCATGCAATGTTGTACATATGATTCTAATTTTTGCCAATTTTGGGAAACAATATTCCCTTCTGTTATTTTTAAATAAGCAAATTTGATTTGGATTGTGTAATTTCCACTCTATATCTGGAACTAATAAGAATTTTTCATTATTTTAATACAGTAGGTAAATTATGGCAAAGTCGCTGAAAAAAAGTAGTGTTAAAAAAATAATAATTGAAAAGTTTATCAAAAAGGGAAAACATAAGGTATTTTCAACCCACTATTACATTTCTTCTAGAAATGCTTTCAAACTTATCTAATTAGAAAGAGCAAGTTGTGAAGCTTTCAGAAAAGTGAATTTTATCAGTCATTGGAGGCATACAATGCCCAAAATGTGGTAAGAAGTGCAGTGGGGAAAAAATAAAAGAAAAAAAAGATTCTATAAAAAAATTCTAGAGTTTACCGTTTAGTTTCTTCAGTATTCAAATAAAAAACATTAAATGAAGCACATTCTCAGCACAGCGTTGTTTTTGTAAGCTGAATTCCAATTTCCTAGCTCTTACTATTACCATTAAAATGATGTCTAAAGCTGATGATTTGTGGAAAAAGCTCCAAAACTGTGTATTTTCATCCCCTTTTTACAGAATAGATTTTTTAGAAACTATTTAAAGCATTTCTCATTAGAAATTACATTATGAAGCTTAAAAGTCTTCTTTCTAGATCTAGAAATGTCTAGTTGTTTTCAAACTGTTAAAAATTCCGAAAGTAAAAGACGGGCCATTGCCACGGCGACGAGTTCAATTTTACAAACTTCCTTCATTGTAACGCATTATTATTCATTTTTTGCGTTGGTCCAGGGTCCTAATCGTCAATGCCAGTTTAATAATTTGAACTAGCAACCCCATCAACATAGGGGCTGACGTCAGGTGGCTGTGCAATAATAAAGCAGTTAGATCTTAATCCTCGTTCGCAATCGTATGATTTAGTTTTTTTTAAATAATTAATTTCATTCAAACTTCGGGTCTACGCTGTACGTGGATTATAGGAAATACGGGTTCTTTTCTCAATCGCTCGCGAAGGAATACACTTAATTCCGCGAGATCATGGCGAACGACTACACGAACCCGCGAACGGAATGGCTTCGTATATATGTTGTCCAACTGGCGGACAGCATGCGCCCCGCGAAAAGTTATTAGACGAAAGAGAAAGTCCCTTTTATCCGTGTCGAGCGAGAACATTGTGCGCCCAGCACACGCACCTGCCCAGGTCAGCACTTCGTTTAACGTAAAACGAAGTTACGTTTAATGTAAAACGAAGTTACGTTTAACGTAAAACGAAGTTACGTTTAACGTAAAACGAAGTTACGTTTAACGTAAAACGAAGTTACGTTTAACAATTTTTTCTCTAGTAAATTCAGAAATTCAAAATCCTCTCGGTGTATTTCATTGCGGTATGCATGGGTTCGCCTGCCTGATATTACGCATGGTTCCATCCCCCCACCCTCCCCCGTTTCAGAGCAGCTGGGCAAAGTGCCGAGCTCATCAATACAGACGACAATAAGTCGGGTAAGGATCGCCCGAGTAATGAAAACCTGACCGGCAACCATATTAAAGGACTGGGTTTGGCCCTTGAGGTCTTGGAAGTTGGACATCCTTTGTATGTAACATAACCTGCGTAAGGCGCAAAGGACACTTTGCTACGCATGCCCCACTTCACGAAGCTCCGGCCTTCAGCGTTCAACGATTAAATCAAAACACCCTTGACTCTGTCTAAAGCACTTTATATCAAAATACTTTTATGCCGTATATATGTAGAAATGAAAAAAACAAACCAAAACTAATTCAGAACTATTTAAAATAATGAATTGCAATCAAGGAGGCATGTATTGAGGTATTGCTTTTAAAATCGCCTGAAAAAATTCCTATTGCGGTTAGAGTAGAGAACGCTGTACGCCCTTAGAGAAGCCGGGCGGCGGAGGGGAGAGGGTGACGGAGGGGAGTAGTCTTAAGCCCTCCCTCAAATTACGTTAAGCGCACTGAAAGATGAATAAGACTTACCGATAGGCTACTTTGAGGTGCCGAAAAGTTTGGAGAAGCCCTCAAGGATTGACAGAAGCCTCTCGGTTGCGCCCTCCCCCCCGCACATAACACTTCCGCGTATTAGTGGCCCCGGCACGTGCGGCAGCCTCACCGGCAAGGCCGCCCACGCGTTGCTTATTATAAGTATGTACCAAGTTATTTACATTGCTCACTACCCCTACCCTCCGAAACATTCCCCTCATAAACCCCTAATCACCCCTCCGCCCCTGAATTTCCCCTTGCCGAAGCGACGCGAAGTGCGGGTTTAAACGACTTCCTTAAGCGGTACCGAGTTCTAAAGTTCTGCTCCTTTTGCTACTTCTTGATGTGTTCACGCCACAAAAGCAGCCACGCACATTTAACCACGAACCAGAGTGCGCCCTTTCCTGTGAGTTCTCATCTTTCGTTCACCGATTATTCGGTGTCAGGCGTCAAGTTTTGAACGGGGAACGATGCGGAATAAAGCCCGAAATATGTGTTTTAGCTATGACGTGGTACTAGCAGTTGAATACAACACGATGCTCAAGCAGAAATTGGAAACACCAACGGAATGGCCAATTTCGTAATGAAACGCAAGGCGCGGGAAAAGAGATACGATACAACAGTGTTGCGCCAGCATTGTGATGAAGGGCAGTGGGTGACGTTAACACGCAATTCGTTGAGCTCACCCTTTTGGAGAGAAATGGCTTGTTGAGGATAGTAAGAAGATCGATTGTCAGAAGTTTTCTTATGAAAAAAAAAAACAAAAAAAAACAACTAAAGCACTTATTTAATGAGGAGAAAAGAGTGCGAAAAAATCAACCAGTTATTACAATAGTCCTATTCTCTAGACATTTGGTTCTATTATTTTAATTGTTTTCTCAGGCAATGAAAAAAAGATTTGTTTAACACCGTTAAGGCCAGTGGAACTAGCTCAAATGAACAACGGTGCCCATTCAGTGGGCGTTCGCTTCAGGTAACGATATCCTCTCGTCTGCATATGGGACAAGAGAACGCTCAGGAGCGATAGTACTGGCATGAGCATCTCCAATTGGTTCTTGCACTATACTTTTGTAGTGGAACGTGCTAACTTCAGAAGATTTGAACTATTCCCATCTGACCGGTGATATATTAACGGAAGTTCATGTTTAGTTCAAATTTGTGTTTGAATAATAAGTGTATGGCTGGTTTGGAGCCTGATACAATTATAGTATCCCCATTGCCCTTAAATTTTATTGGCCAGAAGGAAAATACCTTAATTGGGTTCCAAGTGAATCGCCTTTTGGAAGCCTTCCTGAATTTTGAGCATCTAACCGTTGACACAGAATCTGAAGTACATTTCTTGTTACAGGCATATTTTGTATTTTTAAAATGATACAGAACAAATGTGAACAAATGTATTGTACGAATATGATTCGTACATTATTAATAAAATATTTTCCTTTTCAATCTCAGTAGTCTCTTATTGTAAAGGAACTGTTTTCCTGCTGGAAAGATTTTTCTTGGAATTTTAAATTTTGTACCAATTATAATTGCTTAATGTCATCTGTCAACGTTTTTTAAAGTAACGTTCTCTTATTATTATGTGGATTTCTTATAAAGAGCCGTCGATTCTGACACGTGATGAATGTTTCTAGGACGTGTACTGTAATTAGGAATATCTAAATTGCTTGAAAAATACTCCCACCATTAAGTTGTTTTGACAAAAACTACATATTCGTAAATAAATAGATAAG